CGGAGAGCAACCGGCAGCTCTGGCGGAGCGCGGAGGGCCCAGCAGTGGACTCCACGATGGCTGCGGCGCCGGCGAGGGACCAGAAGGGGGCTAAGAGGGAGACGCCGAGAAGAGCAATACCTGTGCTAATTTCAGCGGGCAGTGGGAGGAGGGGGATAAGCAGAAGAGGGGAGGCCGGGAGGGCTGTGAGGAGGAGGCGGAGAACGGAAGCAGGCACGGAGATAAGCGAGGCGAGGAGCTTGACGGGGCGGCCGAAGAATCCGGCGTGCGCGCTGGCGGCGGCGGCGGCGAAGGCGGCGAGGTAAAGAAGCGCCGTCACGAGAGCGAGAAGCAAGAGGGGGTTACTCCAAGAATCTTGCGGGGATCGGAGGGAGACGGAAGGAGAGGCGCCGGGGAAGGGCGTGGGGAGGGAGAGGAGGAGGAGGGAGAGCGGCAGGAGGAGGCAGGAGAGGGCGAGGAAGTGGCGTGAGTGGGCGGAGACGAGGCGTAGGGTGGCACCGGCCGCACCGGCGACGAGGTCAGGCCAAGGGAGAGAGGGCAACGAGCCAAACGGCGGCAGCGACGGCGGCGGCGGGAGAGAATCCATTGGTGGGGTGGGTGGACGTGGGGATGGAGAGGAGACGTGTAGAAGAAAGAGACCAAGAGAGAGTGACGGGGGCTGCTGGACTGGTCGATTGTTTTGGGCCGATAAACGGGAGGCCCTATGTACCGGCAGATTCCATTTTTGTTGGCCCAATGCACAGCATAGATATCCAATTTTCCTGTTTCTCTCTCTCTCTTTTTCTGTTCTGGGCTTTGGTGCTGTTCTGGTTTTTTGTTTGATCCGGTTTTCTAGCCTTTCTTTGTTTTTGTTTTTTAGGGTTGCCTTTCTTTGTTTTTGAACTTAATCAGCTCCTCATTAATTATTTTTTCGGGAGACTGTTGACCTATTCATCTTCAATCATGACAGTATAACGAACAACAGATAATAAGAGTTACATTATCTATCAGAAGAGATATTAGAGAAGGCGAAGCATCCTCCACCAACTATTACAACCAACACGTATTTTGCTAACTTTGCTGGTCATGGGCAACAAGATTTTTCCCCCTCCAATACAGGGTTAAAACTTAGTAACTGGAAATTGATGTGCTATATGATAGCGCTTATCAAAGATGGCAGCAACACTCCCTGAAGAAACTGCTCCAACATTGAGTGTGTTAGTCCTCGATGTTGTCCGGACTCACCACAATTCTGTTGCAACCCGTTGCTTGTGCAAGCGACAATCCAAACCGAAGAGCATATGCTTCAGCCATTAGAGCGTCTGCACTCCAATCAATCTTTCAATTACCAGCGACAATAAAATGTCCCTTTGAGTTTCTCATTACAGCTCCAGCTGTAGCCTGAAGCATGTCGATGTTGAAACCAGCGTCAACATTTAATTTAACATAATCGAGGGCTTCGGCCATCCCCAGTTTTCTCCATGGGGTTTTTCTCCTAGTGATTTTACGCCACTCCAACCGCAAATCCAGTGGTTTAAGCATTGGAGGAGGAAATCCAGGACTGATTCTTCTGCTCAATCAATCTCATAGGGATTAGCCATGACCTCTTCGATGTCCAAGGATGACCACACTTTCTTTGCAAAATTGCACTTAAATAAAAGGCGCTTCATATCTTGCAAGCGCACCAAGTTTGAGAAACATGAAGGGTTCTCCTAACAACAAGAAATTATCTTAGCAGGGCATGATAACTTCCAGAATTTTCACCAAATTACATTTGTTGTGGTAGCACCCATACCGTTAGCATAATTTAGTTTAGCACCAAATTGTCTTTTTTTTTTGCTCTCTCTTGCTTTCCCCCCTTTTCAGTTCCTTTCTGTTTTCTATTCTATTTTATTTTTATGTTTTAGCTTATGTTCCTTCGTTTGTTTCTATTATTCTTTTCTAACTTTGTTCGTCTGTTTTTGTCAACAATTTCTTTTGTATAAGTATATTATAAGTGGATCGGAAAAGATTAGTTACTCAATTTTTTAGCAAAAGTTAAATAATTGCAACTTACTTGCATCTTTTGAAATCAATGAAACTAACATTTTTTAGAGGCAAAAAACTAACATTTATACATATATGTATATCAAGTATGGTATATTGCTCAGCATGCTTACATTTAAGATTTAGCAACAAATCTGGCGTCGGATTATTTAAGCATGGCAAATCTGACACCCTGGTGTTAGATTTTTTAAGCATGGCAAATCTGACACACGAGATGGCAAATTATATCGTCGCGAGCATGACAATTTCCTTCAGCTCACATGGCAACTCCTCATTGAGCAAGAATGGCAAATCTTTGCCATGCTCATTTTTTTTCGCCAGGATTTACCACGTTTGCTAAAGAAAATTTTCTCCATAACTATCAAACATGTCTACATACATTTGATTTGGAAAAAAATACTCCCTCCGTTCGGAAATACTTGTCATAGAAATGGATAAAAATGAATGAGAACTAAAATATATCTAGATACATCAATTTCTCCGACAAGTATTTTCAGGTGGAGGGGAGTATATGTTAAAACATCTTATAATAGTAAACGAGGGAGTATGTTTGAACAATTAGCTCCATGTTGACATAGCAATATCAGTAAACACTTGACAACCCTTTTACACCGTTTAATAATCCTAACACAGCCTCTCCGGTTCGACTGGACTGGATATTGATCGCGGCCGGCCCTCAGCAAAGATTCGTCGTCCAGTTGACATTAGTTGACCTTCTTGCATTGATGTTGGCATCGTTGTAGATGTTGCCCGGATGACTGCGGGCACGTCTGCTGCCGGAGCGCCGCGAACGAGGCATTGATGTTGGCATCGTTGTAGATGCGGTCGTGGAATGTGGTGCACCGGGCGTGCCCGATGGTGTGCGCGCCGGACAGCGCCGTCATGTCCCGTGGCGACAGCCCCTTGTTGCCGAACATGGTGATGAGGGTGGCAAGGCTGGAACCCGGCCCCGGGAGGTTGGAGTTCGCCGCGCTCTGGCTTGCGTTCAGTGCGTCGCGGCGGCCGAGCTGCACCGTCCACGTCGGGCCCCCGAGCTGCATTGTGGACATCAAATAAGTTCAAAATGCTACTCATAGAAAAACTTTGCTTGACGCGGCAATGGTGGATGAATAGTGATTTGTTAATTACATACCAGGTTGACGCTGTCCCGTGCAGCCAGGGCGACGATGTCGGCGCAGGAGACGACACCGCTGCAGGACGCCTCGACTTGGGCCTTGATGGCGTCGATGACGTCGTACCCGCGCACCGAGTTGGCGTTCGGCCCGGCGTTCTTCTCGCCGGTGAAGCTCGCAGTGTCGTCGAGCAAGATCGACGCGTCGCAGCCCTGCGCAAGAACGTACACTTGGAGATGAGCAAAGCAAATCAACTAGGAGCACCACATTGCAACTGAGGAAATGGCACCGGTGTCTAGCTCACATTGACGAAGCAGTCGTGGAAGAACAAGCGGAGGATGGACGCGCCCATCCGTGGCTCGGCCGCCACGGCCTGCGCCGTCGCGGACCGCACAACGCTCTGCAGGCTCGGGCACTTGCTGTCGTAGAACCTCGTCGACAGCTTGCCGCCTGCAGCGCCGGCTAACAGCGGGGCCAACCCGACAGCAACCATGAGAAAGCACCTCACTGCAGCGGCCATGGCGCTGGACCTCAAGAACGGTACAAGCTAGTGACTAGTGAGTCTGGTGGTTGATGAGAGGGGAAGCACGTAGGAGGGTATGTATAGCGGTCCGTGTTTCTCCGGCTAGCTTGCCCGTGCTTGCATAGTGGCAATGCAGGATCCAGCATGGCGCCATGGCCGACGCTGAACTCGCGCTGGATTAGTTGACTAATCTGCACGCCGGAAGGTGGCGGTGGGCGGATTAAGGTTGGACTGTAGTGCTGTTAGCGCTAGATCAGATCGATGTGGAGCGCTGTGGTTCGGTTTGGTTCGGTTCGCGCGTGTTGGTGAAATCATGTTTGTAAACTGCAACTTGGACGCCAAGAATAGTGCACCCTGCTCGTCTTCCGAGACAAACAGATCATGTCTGCCCACCCAAGCCAATCAACGCTCGAATTTCTTGTAATAATCCTAATCAGTAAATCAGTAATCACACTTTATGCTTCGTACCTACTCTCAGTACAATACCGATGCCTGCCTGACGACCGATGTTCGGTACGCTTGTCAGTAGTAAATACATGTGTGCCAGTGAAAGTTCTGCACTGGCAGTGTGCTTCACTCGTCGACATTTTGGGATAGCAACAAATCATCCGCTCATTCAGGACTGACGTAAAAACTGCGGGAGCTTTGACACAGCCAAACCATTTTGCAGTACTTTCTGTTTCACGGGGAAAACGGATTTTACAGTTCTAATTACCTGAAGAAGATACGTGCCCAAGGAAATGTGCAAAGCTAGTTAAAGAAATGTACGTAGTGCTGTTTGCTGGAGCTGGTCATCAGTAAAGGTTGACGACAGAAAGGGCACGGGCCGACGTATTGCAAGGCGACGATGAAAGCACCACTCTTCGCAGGCAATGTGGTGCACTACGGCACTAGTGCGAGCTCACCGACAAGTGATAGCCAGGGCAGCTACGCACGCAAATTGTTCGAGCACCCGGGGCCAGGAGATGTACTCGTGTGATGTAAGTTTTGCTGAAAAACGTTTATTTTTGTCTTCTAGGTACGCGGTTTCACTTTCTATCATTTCACATGATTTTCGGTAGTACTGTCTTCTACTACCTCTGTATCATATGTAAGACCTTTTTTAACACTATGACTGTGTCAATAAAATGTCTTATATTTTAATACATGGAGTACTATACTAATCTCCTCTGTTTCAGTCAGAAAAGTGTAGGCGCTGCGCAATTCAATCCTGCTGAGAACTAACTACACAACCTGATTATCAGTCAGGCCGCCAAGGATAATTCTCCTGTTCGCGTCAGCCGGTCACAATCCCATAAATACGTGTGATGTTAAGTTCGTGAGGCAATCCTTAACCACCCTTAGTTAACCTTCCTGCAGTTCAGCCTGACCTCCGTCGGCGTCCCGGAGGCCGGCATGAGGCCACCCATCTTGACCATGGCCTTGGCGAAGTCGCCGGCGAATATCTTGCCGTTGCCGCTGTACTTCCTCACCAGGGCGTCCTGCGACCCGCCGTTGAACAGCTCCTGGTCCGAGTGCAGCAGGCCGCGCCGCGCCACCAGGTTCGTGTAGTAGGCGTTGTCGAACGTGTCCGGCGTCCGGTCGTCGAACGGCGCGAGGTTGCCGTCCCCGCCGGCCTGTGGGCACGTCCGCTGCCGCGCCGCCGCGAAGGTGGCGTTGATGTTGGTCTCCCCGTAGATGCGCCCGCGGAAGAGGAGGCAGCGCGCCCGCCCCACGGTGTGCGCGCCGGACAGCGCCGTCATCTCGCGCGCCGAGAGCCCCTTGGCCGCGAACGCGGAGACGAGGGACGCGGCGCTGGAGCCGGGGCCCGGGAGGTTCGCGTTGGCGGCGCTCTGGGTCGCCGTGCGCGAGTCCTTCCGGCCCAGCGGCACGTTCCACGTCGGGCCCCTGAGCTGCCGTGCAGATTACTTCGCGTCAGCACTTAGCAAACACACTGCGAGCTGTATAAGGTATTACCACCGGCGGACCGGGACGTGCACTCACCAGGTTGACGGCATCGCGGGCTGCCAACGCGACGATGTCGGCGCAGGACACGGTGGCCTTGCAGGCCGCCTCGACGCGCGCCTTGATGGCGTCGATCACCTCGTACCCGCGCACAGAGTTGACATTCGCGCCGGCGTTCTTCTCGCCGGTGAAGGTCGGCGTGTCGTCCAGGAGGATCGACGCGTCACATCCCTGGGCGAACAAACAAGCATACGCACGCGTGTCAATTTAATCAATCTCAGGGAGCTAGCCTGCCAGGCAGAGCCGAGGAGAATGGAGAAATGCGACCGACTCACGTTGACGAAGCAGTCGTGGAAGAAGAGCCGAATGATGGAGGCGCCCATCCGCGGCTCCGCGGCGACGGCCGGCGCCATCACCGACCGCACGATGGCCTCCACGTTCGGGCACGTCCTGGCGTAGAACCTGGTGGAGAGCTTCGCGTGGCATGGAAGGATCACACAGAGCCAGAGGAGAGCGGCAGCGACAACGCAGCCCCTGGCGGCGAACAAGAAACCCATCCCGGCCGGCCCTCTCAGCTCAGTCAGCTACTGCGACAGAACAGAGCACACACAGTCATAGAGCGGCTTCAGCAATGGATGCGGCCGGGCTAAGTGGCAGAGAGAGACGCTAGAGAACAGTGTACTTTATAGCGCTCGGCCGCTGGTCGTGGTGATCGTCTCAGTACTGTGCTAGTAATCTGAACGCACGTAGCGGAGGCGCACTGGGTGATTGGCTGGTTGACGAGAATGCATGGTGGCCTTGAGAGGCTGCGTCTGTGCGCGGCGCACCATGGTGCGGGTTGGCGTCCAACACCGGCGATCGAGCGGCTACGGGGTAGGGTCGGTCCTCTCCTTTGGGGAACAAAGCCGGAGCGCGACCGGGGGCATCATCGCTTTGCCCTCGCTTTCTTTCCGTCTTTGCGTGGTGTGCGAAGGTTCGGAACATGGCAAAAAGCAGCGTCTTGGCTCTGGATTTCAGCGGCTTTTGCTCTGAGTAGTACGTGAGTCGGTGAGTGGGTGCCTTCGATTGATAGCTGGTCTTTGCTTCGACACTGAAATTTCTGTAAGCCTAATTAGAGCCAGACCTAAGGTAATCCGTCCATCTATACGTCTGCGAACGAGTCCGGGATGCAACCTCAAACTTATACTCAAACATGCAACCTAATAGATAAAGGGAAACGTTTTCCGTCGGCACACCGGCCGAACCGTTCCGCCGGTTCGCACGCCACGCTGGCAACGCGCCCGCGTGATCCCCGCCTCCTTTCTTACATGCCTCCATCCCCTACCTTCAGCCTACGTGCGCGCACCTCCCCTCCCCCGAGCTGCGACTGGGCCTCCACGAACTCCCTCACCGGCGGCCAGGCGCTCCCTCGCCGGCGGCCAGGCGCTCCCTCGCCGGCCGCCATGGCTGCCTGCTGTCATGGCCAGATCCATCCCTAACCTACAGCCTTCAAGGGCGCGCATCCCCTCCCCTCCTCCTCCTCCCGGGCAGCGACTGGGCCACCACAAGCTCCATCGCCGGCGGCCAGGGCGCTCCCTCGCCGCCCACCATAACTGCCTGCCCGCCATGCCCGGATCCACCCCCGCGTATAGAAGTGTTGCAACCATCACCTAAAAAAGCTTCAACGGCCATTCAAAAAAGCTTCAACCATAGACATAGAAAGCTTCAATGGCACTGCACAACAAGGGGGAAGCTGCAACCATAGTTGAATTTTGCTACCACCGGCGAAGCTTTTTGCTACATCCATCAGGCGGAGCTCGGACCCTCGCGACGACGACAACGATGTTTTGCTGCAACCGTAGCAGGATTTTGCTACAACTAGCATCGTTTTTTGCTACCACGGCAACCGGCGGAAGCAGCGACCAGCAATGCTTTTCCAGCAAATGATTTTTGTCCCGGCAAAACCCAGAGCTGGAACCAGCTTTTGTTTTTGCTACAACCTGCAAATCGAGAGCTGGAACCAACAACATTTTTTGTTGGAATCAAAAGAAGCAGGGGCTTCAACGGATGTACGTCAGAGCTGCAACCAGTGCTGAAAAATGCTACATCCGGTAGCCACGAAAGCTACAACCAGCTTGAAAAATGCTTCAACTGGATATGAGGTAGTTGGGGGTCGGCATCTCGCAGCGACAAAAAGCTGCAACCGGCTTGGAGGAAAGCTACAACGCGCTTCTAAAAAAGCTTCAAACCGAGAACGGCTAGCTAACAATGGTGAGCGGCGGCGACGGAGCTGCATGGGCGCGCGGTGCTGCGACGGGCACGCGGCGAGCTATGATGGCGGACTGCGACAATGCTGGAACCCTCACCCGGCGATGCTGCAACCAGAGGGAGGGAGACACGCCCGGCCCGACGGAGCTGCATACGGCGAACGCCCCAGGTGAGCTGCGACGGCGAGCAGCCCCGGCGAGCTGCGACGGCGAGCTGCGACGGCGAGCTGCGACGGCGAGCGGCCCCGGTGAGCTGCGACGCGGCGTCCAAGGGCGAGCACGAGGAGGCTGACCCGCGGAGATCCGTTTTTTTCCTGCGTTTACGCGTGCGTGCGGGAGGAAGAAGAAGCCGGGGGCGATTCGTTTTTTTTTTCCTGGATCCAACGACCCGCGCGGCTCACATCCAACGGCCTGGGCTAGACCGGCCGAAACTTTCGGCCGGCGCACCGGCGCCTATCAGCGCCCATAGATAAAAGGGCGAGGCTATACATCAGTCCATTGAAAAAAAAATTAAGGCATCAATCGATTTTCATCTTCCAATCTTCATCGTTGGACCTTGGTCGAACACCCAGAACTTCATCTTCAACCTCGAACTCAATCTGCCCTGAGCCGCCGCCGGCGCTCCTCGCCACCTCGCCCTCCCCGAAACCATCCCTCACCGCCAGTCTCCCGCCGCCCCGGGCCATCCATCTACACCACCGCCGTCCACCACCGTCCCCACCCCTAAACCGTAAGATAGATACTGGGATAGCCTCTCCGGCGAGCCCCCACTGCGGCTGTTTCTTACTTCCCTTCGGCGCCTTCTTTCTTCTAGAAAAATCGACTGACCCAAATCGGATTATCAGCCGACTGAAGTTTACTAAATTGTAGATAAAACTAGTATGCTACTACTTGTCATCGGAGATGTAGACAACCTTCATGTCGGCATTGCCCGATGGACATGCCTCATGGTCGTTGGCCACCTCCTGCAGCTCCGGCTCCTCATTGGACTTCATGTCCGTCAAGAATTCATCGACCTCCACCCCCGATTGCAAACCAAATAGGCCTGCACCGGTAGGGATACAGATGGCATGCCTCGCCCCACACTAGCGCTCCTGCGACGCGCCGCCCCGGTGCCCGTGGCCACCATAGCCAACGACCAACCCCTCCTCCCGCGGAGCAGCGCCTCCTCATCGTCGCCGCGGTTCCCCCGGGGGTTCCCCCTGCCGCTGTTCGCAAGGTCGAGCCTGGTAGCATCTTTATTTCCGCAGCTGGCGGAGATCTCGTCGAATCTGCGTGTCCGGGTCGCCGCTCCGCCATTCGCGGCCTGCGTGGCCGCCCCTGATGTGGCGGGGCCGTCCCTCAAGGTTCGTTTTGCTGCCACTGATGCTCGGATGGAAGGCACTCCTCCTCTCCCCGTCCAAGGTGCCCATCGGCTGTGCCTCAAATCTCCGTCAGCTTCAATCTTCAAGTCTGCTGCTGCGGTGAATCCGAGGCCGCGCTCTACCGCTGTCAACATCGAAGAGGATGGGTGGCGCCTCATACGCCCGCCTTACTGGTGGAGGGAGGGCCGCTCCAACCATCAACAGTCGAGCCGCAGGTCCGCGCCTACTTTTTCCACCCCGGGGAAGAAGAATTTCGTCAAGCACAAAGATCGTACTTGCCACCGTTGCCTGCTCAAGGGACACTGCAAGGCGTACTGCAGGAACCCATTTACCTGTCTCCATTGTCATCAGATCGGACACCGGGCTTGGAGCTGCACCAACTCTCCGCCGTCATCCTCAACGCCTGGGGCTACACATCCGTTTACTGCTAAGGCCCGCCATCACAACAGGTTGGAGGTGGCGCCGCGATGACAACGGCCGGCACCGACGTGACGATGACCGCGACCGGATGGGTTAGGCTAGGGGCCGCAGGGACCAGCTGGACGGCATGCGTGGAGACTGCCGCCGTGATGATCGAAGGGACCTCTCACAATGTAGTGGTGTCGGGCGGTCTAGCACGGCGACAGACGAGGCGCTTGTCCGCTCGCCACCGCCATCCCGTTGCACCACCTCTGAAGACATCATCGAGATCATCCCCATGTCTCTGACCCCTGGGTGGCTACAGAGTGCCAAGGAATGCCCCTCCGCTAGCTGGGCAACTTCACCTCGATCCCCACCTCCGCCGCGTCAAGCCGTCAGCTCCAGGAAGATCACAATGAACCTGCAACACCTGCGCTTCCTTCTTCGTCTGCAGAAATCATAGCCAGGCACATCTCTTCGCCTCATGAGATCACCGCGACGCCAAGTCCTACACCTGGAGATGTCATTGCCACACCAAGTTCTACAGAGGTCATCACCACTCACAGCTTG